TGAATTTGTTTAATTTACTGAAAAATGAATCATGAATATGTTTTTTTTGGGAATTTTTTCTTGTAAATCATCTTAATTTTGATTTATCTAATTATTAATTTTGTTGATTCAATTAATATGATGTTTCATTTAGTCGGTGGAATTTGAATGCAAAAGAAAAAATATATATAAAAATGACAAGTTGATATTAAATATTTAAAAAAAAATCAGATGACAAGTGTCCGATTAAATAAGAAAAAGACATTTAACAAAATAAATCTTCATTTATTTATTAGTATAAGAAGATTTATTATAACTAATTACATAGAATTCACAAATGAAAATTTAATATCTACATTAATAAACATTAATTAATATATTAATAAAATTAATTAGTATGAGGTGACATTTAATAGGTGAAATTTGAATAAAAAAGAAAAAAAAACATAAAAATAACAAGTGAATATTAAATAATTCAAAGAATCAAAAAACGACAAGAGTTCAATTGAACGAGAAAATGACAGGAGAAAATAGATTTTCGTTTAGACTGGACGGAATGGTGCCAAGTTTCCCATAGACCACTTAGGTGCCACCTAGGATTTGTCACATTGCTTCATATTTTTGTCATTTACAGGGTGTGGGTTCTTACGCTTGTCATGCTAATATTTTTCTTAAATTAATTAAAATTAAAAATATAAACAAATTACTTTTATGAAACGTAAAATCTTATTAAACTATAAAATAAAATTACAACACACCAATTAAAATTCAACATAGAATGTAAAATTACAAAACGTAGATACTTGAAACACAATGTAACGACCAAAAATTTCAACACAATTTAAACTTTTCAAAAACAATCCATTTTAATAACGTTATTACAAAAAGGTTTCAATACATTTATTATCAGAGTATTCCCAGAATCATGCCATAAACATAAACACGGGGAGCGGTACGATCACGCCTTCGCCTTGCCACGGTCTCCTGAAGAACCTGAAAAACATTTAAACGACAACTGTAAGCCCGAAAGCTTAGTGAGATACCCCCAAAATACCAACCACATATACGCCCTTCCAGGCTACGACCTTCCGGTCCAAAACATATTGCCTTCCAGCCCATAACATATTGCCTTCCGGCTCATAACATAAATAGCATACATAACATAACAGAACATAGAACAACCATGCATATCGGGTCTATTGTGTGACTGATCCGCCGTATCGGCCTTCAGTCCACCCTCTGTGTCTAGTCATGTCATTCGAGTCTGTAGTGTGGTTGGTCCGCCCGCACCGGGCCTTCAACCCACCTGGTCCACTCTCTGAGTCTACAGTATGACTGGTCCGCCCACATCGGGCCTTCAGTCGACCTGGTCCACTCTCCGAGCCTCGACACGTCTGGTCCGCCCTCGTGGGGCCTACAGCCTATCCGGACCGCTCGCTGGGCCTTTGGAACAACCGGTCCGTCCTGGGTATCTTGGCCTACAACCCAAAGCAGGACCCGCCTCAACCTAAATCCAGTCCAAACAACCATGTGCATATAACATACAATCATATAACAGTTCATAGTCCACAAACCGATCAAGCAGATAACATAACATATCATTACCCCAACCAGGATACCGACCTAACCGGTCACTAGCATAGCATCACTCTACATATCGGGAAATCGACCTTATCAAGGTCTCTAGCATATACCATCCTAGCTACCAGGATGCATACATATCAAAGCAATAACAAAACAACCATATCCGAATCTCAATCCAATAAAGGGTCGGTCTTGGTGCCTTAGACCCTATCGATATAGTGAGGATAACTCACCTCGCGAATGCCGATACTCTGAACTGAAGAAACAGACTCTCGAACCACCAACTCACTGCAAATCCCGAACTAACCAACATAACAAAATAAGCATTAGGTCAATCATACTTCTACTTATCGGGCCAAGACCAAAGTCCAAATCTCATACAAAGTCCAACATTGGCTCAATTTACCAAATTGGGCCCACTTCACTAAATGGGCCTAGAACCAATGTCCATAACAATAATTGGGCCCAAAATACTCTATCCATAAATTCCTAGACTTGGCCCAATAACCAATTTTCCATCAACGGCCCAAACTGAAAGCCCAAAAATGAAAGTCACACAGGAGGAGTACACTGGGCGTACCCTCCTTGGTACGCTGGGCGTACTGCAATGAAACGCAAATGAGGATCGAGGCTTTGGCCCGCTACGCGGGGCATAACTGCAATGCTCATTAAGTCCTTTTAACCTCTTAATGGCTTAAGCTCTTAAGCCCAAACTTCAGATCCATAGGCCAAATATGATTAGAATTCATAAAGTCTCAGAATTTATCACTTGGGACGTCCTTAAGCTCTTAATCCAAGGTCTTAATCCATTAAGACCTATATATCTCACACATGGAACAACTACAGCCCTTGGGACCTCATTTTTCTCACTCAAGACCTCTCCAAAGGTCTGAACGGACAGATAATCTTGATCAAAACGAAATATGCAACAAGGTGAGGGCTTTTGGGATAAGAATGGTGACAAAGCTTCAAAATACATAGATCTATACAATATGAAGGTCAAGCAAGAAGCTTTATACCTCAAACAAGCTCCAAAGGATGGTATCTCTTCAGATCTACAAGCTCCACACATTCTTCTTCTTCTTTGACAACTTCTCTTTTCTCCTTCAAGCCTTTCTTTTGCCAAAAACAGCTTTCCAAGGTCAAACACACCCAATAATAGAGAGAACACGAGATCTAGGGTTTCTCTGAGGTTGAAGATGAGCATAAGGAGGCTAAGGGGTGAACCAACATGTTCCTTATATAGAGGCTGACCCTAAAATAGGGTTTGGGGTTTCTGAGAGTACGTTGGGCGTACCTCCTTGGTACGCTGGGTGTACTCACCCGGGCACCCGTAACTTTCCGCCTCTTTACGCTGGGCGTACCCAGCCAGACTTCACCAAATATTGCATGCATGCCATGCATGCATGGGACCCTTTATCCACCTATACCACCAACAGCTAAAAACAATGATCAACTTCAAAACACCGCAACTCCTCTAATCTAAACCCGCTCCCAAATAACTTACATTCATACGGGGTGACGAGAAGCCCAAATGCTTCTAACATATACACCAGCCCGAAACCTTCTCCGATGAAACTTATTTCTCACAAAAGGACCAGAATTACCCTTCCTCTTAAATCTCAGGGACTTATAATTAAACACTTAAAGAACGGGGTGTTACACACAAAACATAGAAATTTAAATAACGAAATGAAATCACACACTTGAAATTAAAAAAACATAACATACTTGAAATTAAACTAGTACATGACACAACTAGAAATTAAAACAAACAACCCACTAGAAATTAGAAGACAACAAGCTTAAAGTGGACGTCATTTGTCACACATCCTCACAATTTGCTAAAACTCAACAAGCCGGAAAAGTTTGTCAATTTTTTGGCGGAAAACCTTAAGAGCATTCACTAATAAAGTATTTTCAGTTTCACCTTGCTCAACTTCCCGCATCACCCTAAGAAACACATTGTTAAACTAAGTGAAACTACATTTGTATGTCTCTATCGGAGAAAATTTCATCTTTACTTCAAGGTAAAACGGCTTCGCGATTGTATTTTTCAGCGACTCTCGTCCAGAAAGTAGGTGTAGTGACGTTAATGTTGATTGAGTCTTCTGTTACGTCTACCCATGAACCAGCCAATATGATCTATTCATCAGTTGATCAAACATGAACTATTTTTTGCGATAAAGTTTTAAAAATGGAAAATAAGAAGATCAGAAGAGTTGAATTAAGGAGATTTGAATGTACTGAAGAATAAAGAATGATCTTATTATTTATTGTAGATGATAGAAAGTTTAAAATTTGAAAAGAAAAAACGCTTATATTTTGAAAATGAGTATTTTTTTTTTGAAAATATAGTATTTTTTGAAAATGAAAAAATTGAATAAATGGTAAAAGAAAAAAAAACAGATGAAAATTGAATAAATGGTAAAAGAAAATAAACGGATAAAATTTTGAATAAATGGGGTTTCTCTCTTATCGGTAAAACTTCATCGAGTTCCGTCGTCGAATTATTGTTGCCGAAGTCGTAAGATAGTGTGCGCCGAAGCTAAGTAGGCTATGCCGAACTCCTTACCGAACCACTTCGCCTTTGCATTGATAATAGATAAAAGCTACTATAAATATTATCGTCATCCAACTAAATCATAATATTATCGTCATCAAACTAAATCATAATATTAACATTCAATTTAATCAATGATGAAAATATATCATAAAATTCCAAAAGTATTTCACACCCTCTCCCATTGCATCTAAAATTGCACAAAATTGTTTGAAATTAAAAATACGAAATTAGTTGAAGATTTCTTAATCAACTAATTATCAATTAATATTCGCCATTCCTATGATTGGTCTATCATTTTTGTAAGTTTCTTCTTAATATTTAATTCTCATATTCAACAATCATGTCCATTATTATACATTTAGTATCTACTAATTGCTATCAATGCCTCCAACAATTAGCAATTTTTTTCTATTATTCTTCTATTTGTTTGTATAATTAGAATTACAACTTTACCCATAGCTCGAGTAATTAGACATCCACAAGTTAATTCCTAAGAAACCTATCTACGTCTAAAACACCATAAACGAGACTATATGGCAAATACGTGTTGTGATCCATTGCCATTACCATTACCAAACATTCTCCTATACCACACATATGAAAGTTAAATCAAGTCGAAAGTAGAATATTCCAAACTCGAAAGTGAAATAATCCTTATCTTTTATTAATAAGGATCAGAAGGTCATTTCGACAAAAACATCAACACATGTAGCACTAGACAATGGTGGGCCCTTAAACACAAGAAATTATTACTCCTAAAAGGACAATTATATCCTTCTGTAGGGTCAACCCTCATTTTACCACTCGTCTTTTTCGCTCAATCGATCACTCTCCGAGACCCTACAACAAATTCAGTCGTTCATGGCATCAAATGAGATTGCTCCACTTTTCTTCGTCTTCAAAGAGTCTTCGCTCTCAAGATTCTTCCATCTGTAAGTCCCATGTGTTTATAGCACATGTTTATATGAAATCCTATTCTCTGATTCTCAATAATTAAAGGGGTTTCGTTGGAATTTGATTTCTTATCAGATTACAATATAAAAATTCGAACTTTGAATCTTGGATCTGGTAGCTTTCTCTTGAAAGGTTTCAAGATTTGTCTTAATAGCTCTTTAGGGTTCTTGAATCTCTACTTTTCCCTAATGGGCTTCTTTGAATCAGATGTTCAATTCGGTAAACAAGAACTGATTCATGCTGTAGTTCCATTATTGAAGCTCTTGACTCTTACTGTTATCGGTGTTCTTCTTGCACACCGAAGAACACAAATCGTCCCAAAATCAACCTTCAAGCTTCTTAGCAAACTTGTCTTTGCTCTGTTTTTACCCTGCACAATCTTTATTCACTTGGGTGAATCAATTTCTCTCAAGAATTTAACTTTATGGTGGTTTATACCAGTGAATGTAATCATCAGTACTGCAATCGGCTGTCTATTGGGGCTGCTGGTGGCGGTGATTTGCCGGCCGCCACCGGAGTTTTTCCGATTCACCGTGATTGTAACCGGTTTCGGAAACACCGGAAACTTAATACTCGCGATTGTTGCTTCGGTTTGTCATAGCGAAGATAATGCTTTCGGTTCTGATTGTCATACATCTGGTACTGCGTATGTTTCTTTAGCTCAATGGGTGTCTGTTCTTCTAGTTTATACTCTCGTTTACCACATGATGGAACCTCCGATGGAGTATTACGAAGTCGTCGAAGAAGATGGAGAAATCGAGATTGTTCAGGAGAATTTACCGGTGAACGATCTCAGCCGGCCGCTTCTTCACGAAGCAGAGTGGCCGGGGATGGAAGATAAAGAAACTGAACACTGCAAAACACCATTCATCGCTAGAGTTTTCGCTAACGATTTCTCTCTGGCTTCCATTCCCGACCCAGATTCGCTAGAAGACAACCATGAACAGCCGCGAAGTCCGAAATCAATCAGGTGTTTAGCAGAGCCACGAATGGTTAGAAGGATAAGAATCGTCGCTGAGCAAACCCCAGTTCGCCATATCCTTCAACCTCCGACGATAGCTACTCTTCTAGCTTTAATCATCGGAATGGTTCCGTTTCTGAAATCTATAGTGTACGGAGATGACGCTCCTTTATCGTTCTTGACTGACAGTCTAGACATTGTCGCCGGAGCAATGGTGCCGTCGGTGATGCTTGTTCTTGGAGGGATGATTGCAGAAGGTCCAAACGAATCAAAGTTAGGACTTCGAACTACTATCGGGATTCTTGTCGCGAGGCTATTGATTCTTCCGATGTTGGGAATCGGGGTTGTGTTCTTGGCTGATAAACTAAATTTGCTGATTGAAGGTGATCGGATGTTTCAGTTCGTGCTTCTGTTGCAATACACGACACCAAGTGCGATCTTGTTTGGTGCAATTGCTAGTTTGAGGGGTTACGCAGTTAGTGAAGCTTCGGCACTTCTGTTTTGGCAACATGTTTTTGCGTTGTTTTCTCTTTCGATGTATTCCATCATCTACTTCAAGTTGTTGCTTACGTATAAATGATCTATCCATGATCCATATCTTTCGAAAAGGAATTGTATCAGATGATGTAATAAGATCTTCCCAAGAACAGGGTTGGAAGTCAACTGGGTTTCACGTGGTTTATTGACAAATTGATGCATGATTCAGTTTCATCTGGAGAAGAAATGTGCCTTGTAAGATATGAATTTCAGTAAAGTATAAAGCTTGAAGTTTCTTGGAGAAGATGAAATTTATTTAGAAATTTGTTGTTTGTAAACTTTCCCTCTGAAGTGTTGAGTGATAGACTGTGGATCATGAATTGGCTGGTTGTACTGGATCAGCATCGGTCCAAACATATTTGGGTCTCGGTACAAGAAAGAAAAAAAAGACCCTGGAAATCCCAAATGTAATAAAGATTTGAAACAAGTATACCAATTTACTAAAATTATTAACAGATACTATTATAAAAACACATAAAATAAATATAGCCACATCATTTTAAAAAGAGCACTAGTTTAAAAAATTAAAAATAAAATGTTAAATATTCATTAATCAATAGTGGTTAATCATGATGTTTCAGAACCCTTATCGTATCAAGGGTTGAACGAAAACTCTTCGTCCAACATGTGAGGATGAGTGAATTTCGTTGTTGGCCTCCCATGTTACATGAAACGGAGTACAGAAGCTAAGGAGGGATCCGACGCTATTAATAAGGTCTTAAGGATTTCATTCTTTCTTGCTTCTTAACTTAAAGTTTCACCAAACCCTTCTTCATCTCTCATACAGGGACGATTTCTAATCCTTTTAAGATTTGTGAAATTGACCTTTATCCTAGTTATTTTTTATTCCATTATTTGGTGTCATTAAGTGTGATATCATTAGAATGATTCTAGTTTGGATCCTTTCATCCACACAACTTCGACGAGGACAATATCTCAAACATGCATAAGATATATGTTATTCTTCTTTATGTTTTATATTTTCATAGGTTCGCAGTAATTAGTATGAAATCTAGATCCTTAGGTTGAATGTTGATGTGACATGGGTTCCGGATGGAGATGTCGTACATCTGTGATGATTCCGATGAACCTGCAGGGTTACAATGAGAAAGAATCGTCAGCTGTTTTCCGGGAGGAGGCTCCCGGGAAAACGCTCCGACGATCAAGTCAGTAGATAGACCTGGGTTGTATTGTGTGTAAACTGGGAGAAGACGACTTACTTTCCAAGGCACATGGGTGGCCTTTTATACTGAGTCCTTCTGCTACTCCGTACGGGACAAGGGCGTCAGACCCGACAGGATCGGGGAAGCTGATTGGGTGATCGTGCTCCTTAATCTGTCAGAGCCAACGATTCGTTCAGGCGGTAATCCTCTGAGCATTTGCCTTGTCGCCTAAGGCCGTTATGTTTGTCCCGAATTGGAAGGCGCCCCTGGCGAGACCAAGCCTTCTCCGCGAGCACCCTGCTCTTAGAGGTGCTGACGAGCGTTAGATTCCATCGAGCTTGGTCTGCTAGGCGCGACATGCCTTGGGGAATTCTCTGGCGCGTCTAGCGCGACTTCTTTGGTCGTGCCCGGGGCACGTCATCAAGTCCCCTAGTCCACTAGTCATAGCGTTGCTAGACTAGCTATGATGTTATGGGCTTAACTGCTCGGTACACGCATTGAGCTCTGATTTAATCGTCGCTTTGATTTTTACGGCGATGTGACTACCATTATAATAGTCGGTTACATCATTATCTCATGGATTTTGAATATCTCGCCTTTCCTTATTCTTTATAAGGTCAAGGGCGTTCCCTATTCACGCCACTTTTCCTCCTATTTTGTCACACCCCAAAACCGGAACAACGGAAATGTTCTGGGGTGGAGGACGTCATGTCAAGTATCACAACATATGCAATATAGTAATCAAAGTACAACACTCATTGCATTAATAATAGTACTTTTACATAGGTTACATTATACAATAACATCAAAGTAAATACAGGGAAATACATAGAGTGCAGCTCGGTTCAAGGCTGACTTCAAAAAAAAAAAAAAAAAAGCTCCCGGAGTGTACCTGTCTACTGACGACCTGAGAATACAAGTTATTTTGAAAGCGATTTAGCATTTTTTTTTTATGCTAGTGAGTTCATAAGCATTTAATGACATTTGTATAAATACATGTTCTCCTTTAAAGTAATCACGTAAGATAAAGGTTTAGAAATTTACAGAGTGTTAGAATCCTTTCCAGAAAATCCCATATTTTCTAATAAAAAGTAGTCTTTTACCAAGACTCAGTTGTTTTATGTTTAAACCAAGGAGTGTCTCTACTAAAAGGATATGTGAGAAAATCACCAGTAAAATAGAGAAAATAATATTTTACTTCAGCAGTAATGCTACTGGCTAAAAGTAAATAAAACATAGACTCCAAGTGGTATGGAATAAACCACACGCCTCGCAAAGTCTAAAGGAATCTTTAACCCTAAGTAGGTTTATTTAAAGATTTAAAATGTGGCCTAGTGTATAACTAGGATGATGTATTATAAGGATTATTTTATATATATAGAAAGCATCATGATGATACTTATTACCTTAAAGCCATAAATTATAAGGTAGTTCTAGAGATACTCGTAACCATATTGATTGACAATAGATTACTTAACGACCTGCTGGCGTCGGAGTGAATGTGATATTTGGCATCCCTTGGCTTGGTCGGCCGGGGACTGTAGCTAGCAGTCAGGATGTGGGATTGTCGGTCCCGTATAGATCTATAGACACAATGCCCGCTCTCCCTCCAGGAGACTCTGGTTACCAACTTGACAACGGTGAAATCCGCGTCATGAGGATACATCTCGTATTTTAATTTCTATAAACCTTTCTTTTACTAAGGTATACGTTTTAGAGTATAGGTATAATTAAGTTCTCCTTCCTGAGTGTTATAGTGGGTTCTCCTTTACGAGTGTTATAGTGGGTTCTCCTTCACGAGTGTTATAGTGGGTTCTTCTTTATGAGTGTTAGAGTGGGTTTCTAAACTATAGTTTACCTGAGAGGTTATCTAGTAGCCTTTGCTACCCAAAGGTGATGAATCTACTGAGAGGACTTTTATGTCTATATATGTATACATGATATATAACTAATATTTAAACGACCTTCGGACGGATAACCATTACCCTAAAGCCACATCCAAACAAGGAAAAGGTATTAAAGCGAATTAGCCTTCCTAAGTCCTTTAAATATTACTTATATAACTATACATATATAGGCATGCATTTAACCATATAAGAGTATAACGGAAGTGTTGGTAAAACCTTTGGAAAAACTTTATAAATAAGAATTTGATAAGCTAAAAAGGGGTTTTTACACTTTAAAAGAGATTTGGAAAACAATATTTGAAGACCTTTAACCGGATGAAGTGACTTATTATGTAAAAGTCTATTAATAATGACTTATGACTTAATGTCAGTTTATACAAACAAGATTTGAAAACCTTTGACTTGATGAAAACAGTTTAACATACATAAATCTATTTGCTAGTCAGTTATTAATCACATGCGATTGATATAATAACTTACTGGTTCAACTTGTATTCCCCCCCCCCCCCCCCCACATAAAAGCATTTTAAAATCATTTAAAAGGTTGATTAAGAGGTATGAACTCACCTGACGAGGGTGATTTCGGATGAACGGATGATATAGGATGTTAAGTGTCAAGTGAGGACTTGACCACAGATGCGAATCCTATTTAACATGTAATAACACATATATGAATATATTTAGGATATATAACCATTAATAGGCACATGGATACACTTTAGGGACATGAGAACACTTAGAAATGAGTGTCACAAACACCCATTGAAGTCCCTAAATGAGTGTGGGGCCTTGGATTTGAGTGTAAGGCCACCAAACTCAACCTTTGTGAGTGTGCGGCCAGACCTGTGTGTGCGGCTGAACACAAGAGTGTGTGGCCGTACAGAGAGTGTGTGCGGCCGTACACTCCTCATTTGTGCCCAAAATGTCGATTTTTGAAGTGTTTCAAGTTCCAAACCAAGTCTTAATTCGATTATAGAGGCCATACTCTCAATTTGGAGGGTATTTGAGTGTGTGCGGACACCTTATGAAGGTGTGAGGCCGCACTCCTTCAATGGGTGAAGAACACGGAGAACACTATGAGTTTTACGCTTAGATTCAGGCGTCTTACCAATATAACAAGCTGAATGAAGGAGTACTTCACGTTTTTAAGGCCCTTAGAGTGTTCTTGGATGAAGATTCTAGAGAGAGAAAGTTCCAGCTTTGAAGGAGTGAGAGAAAGGGGGTGTAAGGTTGGCTAAGTGTTCAATATATAGGGTCGAGTATGAGGCTGGAGGGTGTGTGTGGCTGGCTGGCCGCACACGCGGGTGTGCGGCCGCACACACCTCCTTTGGTGTGTTTGGCCCGATTTCTTCATGCTACACTCTTTGAAATCCATCCTTAGACTCATATCTAGGTTGTACTAATCCTAGATCACTATTATAGACCCAAAAATGCGTTAAAAGATAGCAGAAGCGAAGGCGACACCTGGCTGAATTAAATGGTTGAGTTTTACGAGACAAGGATTTTCAGGTTGTCACATATTTCTTCTTCTTCTTCAACTAGGGCTTTCTTCTTGGTTCTATGGCTACTTAATCTGGTACCATTCCATCTGAAGCTGAATTCAAGCTCCTTATCGATGCTTATGGGCTTTCACCGGTTGACGAAGTGGAGTTCCCGTTGCCTGATTCGATGATCTTATCTCCTCCCCAGGCAATGTGGGTGTTTATCTGAAAACCCTCAATGCTGGTTTGTGCCTTTTCCTTACTGATTTTTAGGAGGAGCTTCTGCATAAGAACAGGTGTAGCATCCAAATGCTCAATTTAAATGTTGTCAACAAAGTGGTGACATTTGAGATGATTTGTCGAGCCAATGGGGTTCTCCCCGACTGTTTTTTCTTCAAGTTCTTTTTTAGGTTCTGTGCTACATGTAACAAATATATATTTTCTGTTCGACGAGGAGGGCATACCTTGGTTCCTGATGGCAAGACCCCAAAG